GCTTTGTTTGAACTACAATTTTTAAGGACATGTACACCTCTCTAGCTGATTTTTTTTCTTCCATTTCTTAAGATGGTCTTAGACATTTAAGGAATACTCCAATGCAGAGATGGCTCCACACTATATATAGATATGATGGAGAATTATTTGTATCAGAGATGACATTCAGATCAATTTTCTATTTGGAGCCAGAATGTCTTTATCTCATATCATTTTACGGAGTTGACCCCCTTCTGGCTCCAAACAGATGAAATGTTCTCCACGTCACCAATGTGATTCATGACTTACCGATCCGATGTGATGTCAGCTTCTAAATGAGAAGTCACTGAGGATTATGAGGATCGTTGTAATTGGATACCATGGAAATTGCTTGGATGCTGATGTGACATTAATGTGATGTGGTGTACCGCTGATGCTGTATGTATCCTGGATGTTAATAGATGAATCTCGTCTTGTTGGGCATTGGCTCCTCTGCAGAGGAAACATTTATTGTTCTCCTTGGCATCGTTGCTTTGAAGTTTGTGTTCTAATGGATGATTTCTGTTATAAGGTAGAAATTTTCATGACTTGGGATATTCACAAATGCAGAGAAAAACTTTTGCAATTTAATTTCAACTAAAAGTCAATTTTGTTTTGGCAAGAAACTTTTGCAAAGCTTTACCCCTAATGAAATCTTTTGGCATATGAATGTTTCTGATTTTAGAGTATATGTCTCATTATTAATTTCTGACTATCTTTTAAAGTTCAAAACTACAGTTTTGCATACTTTTCCTTGAGATAGAGAAATCCATAAGTTGTTGTTAATCCATGGAAATATGTTCATTCATTTCCAGTATTTGTGAAGGGCCTTTCTCTGTAAACAAAGTTTTCTCCCTCAAAGAGTTTCAGATCACTGTTTTAATCCTCAGAATTAGATTTATACAAAACCTACAGGTAATAGTAGAAGTAAAGGGATCAAATCTGTCAGATTAGAAAGTAACTTTCATTTTCATAACTAGTGGTGATTCTACATTGAGACCACTTGTCTGTTTTCTGATTTGTTTGGATGGGGCAGTGTTTGCCCTTGTATTCTCTCTACTCTATTCCCTGTATTCCTGACAGGGTAATGTGCCAACATTGTGACTCACTTTTCCTGTGGTGGGTTATCCCCACCGCAAGAGACATTTCAGGTTTTATTCTTAGTTCAAGTATTGTCATACCCAACTTATCAAAGCATGCATGGGACTACATGCAGGCCCCCATTTTTGTTTTGGTATGATCTTGCAGGGGTGATAAGTAGGAGGAGATTGCCATGATTGAGTATGTTTCTCAGAAGATCAGTCAATAGGATGTCTTTGGGGAGTTGACAGACATCAAGTTTTGGATGCTACATGTTCTGGTGCGGTATTGCTAATTTGAGTATCTTTTGGGATCAGCTTGTCTTTGAGAGTTAGCATCAAGTTCTGAACTTAATGGTTCACTGGATGTACATCAAGTTCTATCTTTTGTAATGAGTTGTCGCCAGTTTGACTATCTTTTTGGATCAACATGTCTTTTGAGAGTTATCATCACTTAAACTTTTTGTCAATTAATGCTTTGTTCTAATAAATGTTAAGTGCTGCTTTTTACTAATGAGGTATTGCCAAATTAAGTAGCTATAGTTCAATTCACAGTTATATCTCTAAAGAATTAGCAAAATGTGTGGGATGTTCAGTTTTAGTGGACTCAAATGAACCTGATATGTTTCCTAATGAGGTAATTGCCAGTCTGGTTATTTTTCTTTAGCCTATGAAGATATTTCTGGAGTTAAAAAGTACTACCTTTATGAATGAAGGCAAGGAGGTACCGGTATGGCCAATTTGAGTATCGGTCTCAGTCAACAAGAATAGTTAGCTATAGATCGTGGATGCTATGTTCCTGTGGATGGTCAATTAGCGCTACTTTTAATCATCAATTAACACTTGGGAGACTGCTAGTTCGGGTAATTTACGATTACATAACCTGTGCGTAACTTTTGGAACTTATATTGTATGGAAATGCCTACAGCACATTCAACTCATGACCTGATCGAGAGTCATGCTGCCTGAAAGCATTTATCTTGTTAACTCAGCTCGATCTGTTGGTCATTTAATTGGACATTCCCTCAACGTGCTGGTCAGAGCTGGAAAGTTATAAACAGAAAAAAACTTTACAACACCATTGCTCAATCAGAGGAAGCATTCGTTAGTTGCATGGGACAGTGTATCATCATTCAATTGTATGATAGAGGCAGTGATAGAGGATTTCTTTTTGTATTGCCGGCATTGGCCCTGGCCTGGTTATTCATGCAATATCTCTAGCATTCCAATCAGTGATGCCTGCTTTTGAAGTCATGTCCAGCAGTGTCCAGTGATGACCATCATTTTATCACGTTCAGCCAAGAAATATGTATACTATGTGCGTGTGATGTGGACGACTATGTGATGATCAGCAGAACATACTAGCTAGCTTATGAAGTTTGAATGATGTCATGGACATAATCGTTAATCGTTTTATGTGAGGCTCGTCTTGGATGTCCTGTGCAGCGCAACGTCAAGTGATGACCATCGTTCAGTCACGTTCAGATCTTACGAGAATAGCCACTCCAATCTGAATCGTACAAAGGGATAACATTTCTTATAATTTGGATTTAGCAAGCCAGGCACAAGGAAGAAGCTTCAGATTCAGTTGAGTTTTGATGTTTCAATGTGATGAAAGAGGATTATGTAACAGTCAAAGGAACTTCTCTTCAATGTATTGACATCTCTCACATTTAAAATTCTGATAACACAGGGGATCACCATCATATCTTTGTGTCTAGTACTTATCAATCAACCGTAAATCAAGATTTTGTTCTGCATAATTGCTCTTCTTATGGGTAAATAATGTTCTATCTACTTAAAATTGTTTCTTGAGTATATAAATATGTACCAATATTTTCTTGACATTTCTAGGAAGTAATTTTTTTTCAAGATGTTGGCCTAGCTGTAACTATAAGAAACAAGAAGTTGCCAGATAGGAATGCTTAACATTTTTTTAAAGGGTTATATATCACTTTCTATTCTTTGGGGGCAAGATCAGTCACTAATTGATACCAAGTTATGACTAATGCTACTTTCTGCAAATTTGAGGTAATCATGACGCCATAGTGAAATCTATAAGAGTCTCAACCTGTCTGTGGGTGTTTCTTTCTGACGTATTGTTGGTTTTTTGACCAAGGATAAACACATGTGTACAATGTCCAGCGACGACACTTAATTAGCCAAAGTGACCGCTCTAATGGAAGGTGACCAACTGACCACACTTCTCCATCAAAGAGAAATCTAAAAAGGACACACATGCCACAGCTGTATAACTGGCAGCAGTGACTTGGCAAACGATGGGGGCCAAAGACAGTGTCTTATACTTTCCACCTTCTTTGCCTCGAGTTCAGAAATTTCTTAGCTGGTCATTGATATTCTGGCCACTTGGACATCCTTCACGTTCTGTCAAATCAAAGATGTTTTACATTGCTAACATCCTTCTGTGTTCTTGACCGGAACCATTTCATGTATCCTGTGACTGAAGAATTCAATGCATGTTCTTGAACGTGTTATCTACTTCTCAGTGGTGGTCAAAGGTGTTACATGTCGCAGACATCCTCTTAAGTAATTGCTGTAACTTTTCATGTCATGGATTTTTCTAATTGGATCCAGCTATCTGATGTGTGATCAGCATCTTGAGTATGAGCCAAAGATTTCAAACATGCTTATTGTTACCTTTTTATATGTGCTTAACCGGAATAGTTCATGGATTCTTCGTAATCGAATGCAGTATATGAATGCTTTATCCGTTTCTTGACTGCGGGCCAAAGATGTTAATCTTTGCAACCATCCACTTATGTGCTTAATTGACCGGAACATTTCATAGATTCTTTGATTGAAGAATAGGATACAGTTTGTGAATGCTCTATAAGCTTTTTGAAGTGTCTGTCAATGATGGTAGATATAATCATCTGCATGTCTTCTTGACTTCATGGATTCTTTGATCACAGAGTAGGATCAGGTTTTGGAAGTATAGGGCCAAAGATTTGAGATATCTCAATCATCCACTTACACAAGGTGACCCAAAGATTTTCTAGATTCTTATGCAGCAAATAGGACTTGATAAGGCTTCTCATCTGTGGAGTTCCTTGACTTATTAAGCTGATTAGATAATAGTTATTCAACCCTACTTCATGTTGTATTTTGCAAATGATAATGGACAATTGGACATAATACATGTAGTGAAATAGCAGATAAAATATTGGTTCAGGTGAATGTCTTATTGATGCTGTAAATTCTGCAGTGTAGGATTAATTAGTTATATGTGAAGATGTGTTGACTAGTTTCTTTAAACTCTCAGTAAAGTTACTTTCCTTTTACTAGTATCCATCCTTGCATTACCAGGTATTGGACATTGAACTCAAAAAGGGGATTCACATTTGAACTAGAAAGTTGACATTTGATTAACGATACCGACATTTTAGTGAACATCATCCTGTCATCATTCCTTCCTGTGATTGTGCACTTGATAAGGGTATTTTAGACCCAATCAATTAGTGATTAGTAAAGTCAATTTATAAACTTTAATTAGAAAGGAAGTGTTTCTGCTACGTGTTAATGTGGTTTAACATATGTTGTATGGCTTTGAGGTTCGTAGAAGAACTTAATCTGAACTTGTGAAGATTGGCAATTCAGTTATCTGGTCCATATACTTAGTTCTTATCAATTAAAAAGGAAGCTACATGTATAAAGTGAAGTGCATGATTGATTGTCTCATATAATCACATTCGAACCAATAGTAGCTGTGGACTAGTGATTTGGGAACAGAAATAGACTCATATGAAAGATTCAAAAGGAATAGTGATAGTTCACTGTAATATCTGTTCTTCTTTATGTAGATGAGTACTTTAACATCTCATGATTTAATAATTACTAGCTGTGAATATTAACATTCGTTTGCTAAAGTACACTTAGATCTAAATTTCGAGAGATAGTGATGTACTGTCTGATGATGTGAGATTGGCTTCAGCGATAGTTATTCCGAGCTTTATTTCATCATAATATGTTTAGGGTTCAGGTAATTTGTTGCAGGCAGGTTTCAGGTTAGGTTTTGGTTTAGAGTCAGGATTAGATACAGTTTGAGGTCTAGGACTGAAGTAATCAATTTGGTTAAGCATGGGATGTTGACAACAGAACAATTAATACCAGAGCACTATTTACTTCTGTACCTGTAATATCTGATATTCCCATTGTAGACAGTATACCTTCATATCTCTTAATTTGTTTTGTGCTACAGACCGGAAGGAATGCATTGGTCTCTCTCAAAGGCAGAACAAACATTTCTATTACCTCCCATCCACCAAAACTGATGCGATCCAACCCCGAACTTGTTTACCCTTGATACCGGTACCTCATCAGCAGCTGATGACGAGTCCAGACCTTGTGCTCCCCTGCATCTCACACTTCTCTCCCCAACTTAGTGGTGTGGTGGAGGTGGTGGAACCTTCATCAGTCGTCATGGTGACTCCTCCGCCTTCCCCATCCAAAGCCACAGGCTCCCCATCCCCCTCCTCCTCCTCATCATCAACGGTGACTTTTACCCTGGTGGAAGGGATAGGGGAAGCCCTCATCTTCCTGTTGTACATACTCTGGGTCCTCCTTTCGACGTGCGCAGTGTTTCTCTTCAACTCCTCTAAGGTGGCCGTTACCATGGCAACACCAACTCTTCACAAATGGATCAAACTTGCCTTTGTGTCTGATAAAACTGAAGGTGGAAAGAAAGGGGATGCAGGAATGGAAGGTGAAAGGAAAGGAAGTGGGTTAACAACAAAGCTTGGTAAAGACTCCGGAATAATAGGAAACAAAGGAGGAAGAGGAACGGGAGAAGGAACAGAGAGTGGATACTTTGAGGATAGAGATATTGGAACGATTTTTGAAAGGTGTGATGGTGAGGAAATCATCAGTGGTGCAGCATCCGCTCGAGGTGGTGGTAGTGGTTGCTATGGGGATGGTAGTAGCGCAAACATTAATGTAATAACATCAGTTGAAGAGCAGAGCATCGATGGAGATTGGATCCAGACCAAATTCGATGAAGAGAACGGAAGCTGTGAGGATTTATTGGATGTTAATAGAAACTTCCGGACTGGAGCAAGGAGTCGGAGAAAGCTGTTTGGGGTAACTGGTGGTGAGGATGATGATAGGGAGGCGGTAGATGAGGAGGTGGTAAGCAGATCAGACTCTGGTATTGAGATGATGGAGCCTGATAAACCAACAGAATGCCAGGTAAGTTCTAGATCAGTGATCTGCATCCAGAGGGATAATGGTATATGAATACACATTCCCAAAGAAATACATTTGATGTTAAATGAATTTTTAGTTTCTTTTAAAATTATATTATCATCCTTCAGGTTTGAAATTATCATTATATTTTACATCTCATCATGTCTGTCTTTCTGTCTGTCCGTTTGTTGTTGTTTATGTTTGTGTATGATCATGAATGAATTGGGTGTCATGGTGTGACTGTTATTTAATGCACATTTATAGTACCGTTCTTGTATGAGTTGTGAATGTGTTGATAAATGCTAAATTTCAAGGTAAGTTTTATTTTCATTTGTGTTAAAATTGTTTCCTTAATCTTATAATCTCATCTTGTAAAGCATTTTCATGTTCTACTTGTCAAATAACTTCCTTTTTTAGATACATGTATGATTTAATCTCTGAAAACATACAATATGATATGTTAACACTGTGTTTAGAATGTTTTCATTACTTTCAATTCCAATGATATTACAGGTACATCTGATAATTTTTTTTTACTCCTCAGATGAAGCAGACAATATTTCCTTTCTCTCCAACTTTCTGTTTTATGTATTTCATAAGTGTGTAATGATTGTTGGATTCCCTTTTTTAAGATTTCTTGTAAGCTTGTCTCCTTTGGAAAGTCTTGATTCACAGACTAAATCCAGGTACAGTAGGCATGTAGGAGAACATATCTTGATCATCTTAATTTCCAATCGTTTCATTTCACTTTCAATTTGTCACAGGAACCTCATGTACGTGTAAATCTTTTCTCTGTGCTGTAACATGGAAGAGATCCTAAACTGAGTTATCGATCAAGAGATCTAATACTTTAGACATGTGTCGAATGTGCAACATGTATGGATGCTAATTGCATATTGACAGTGGATGAGAAGTCAGATAACCTGTTTTCTCCTGCTTATCAATTAGCAATCCATTAAGTAGGCCTAATGACCGAGTTTCTAGATAGTTGAATGTTGTTTCTGTATCTCATATTGATAAACTTCACCTAGGCTTTAATCCTTCTGTTCTCAACGAGAAAGAAGAAAAGGAGCAGAACAAGAAAATCCAGGAAAGTAAGATAGGACCACATTCGCAAGATTCTTTAAGGAGAATATGTGTGATGTGTAATATAATATGTCAAGTCTCTTGATATATTATCACTACCATTTTCTCAAATGATAGGCTTAGACAGAAAAATTTTCAGAAAAAAATAAAGCAATATCTAACTAAGATAGGAATGTATGTATATGTTTTTTAAAGAACATTATTGTTAATTGTGCTCTTTAGAAAGATTTTCAAGGGGAATATATGTGATATTGTACATATTATACCAAGTCTCCTAATACTTTCAATAGATACTTTCTCCAGTAAAAGGTTTAGTAAGAGACCAACTAATTAAGATAGGAATATATATGTTCAAAAGGACAAGTTGTAATAAATTAATTAACTAAAAATGGTAAGATGAACAAGGAGGATATCAGTGTTATACATACATGTCTTAAAGCCTGTCTGTACTAGTGTAGCCAGGAGGGATTAGACCTCCCTGCAAGGTTACTTGGTAGTTGGTTATCTCATCAAATCAGCTCTCAATTAAAATAAGAAAAAGGGGATCATGGGGGACTGATGGTCACCAATTAGGCATTGTTTGCTATATAGAGGGAACAAGTAGCTACAAGTAGTACAGTGTGCCTTTAAGACCCCGTTCTCACTCACTTCGTTGGAGCGCTCTGGAGCGCTCTAACTAAGACCCGCTCCTCAGGAGCGGTTCTTAGGTGAGTGAGAACGCTCAAAGTGGTCCAGGAAGCGGACTTCTGGACCGCTCCAGAAGTCCACCTTCTGAGGTGGTCTTGAGGAGCGGGTCTTATTAAGAGCGCTCCAGAGCGCTCTAACGTGCAATGTGAACGGAAAGCGTACTTTGAACGGAAGTGACGTTCCGCGCGATGAGCGATCGGGCAGGCACTACACATAATGTATACGGGACGCGTCGCGAACGGGACAGGGTTTCGATTCCGCGCGCGAAAAAATTGACCCGCCTACCTAAGCTGCCATAGCAACAAGACCACTTTGACTCGTGGAGCGGTTTGAGCCATAAAAACTGCTCGGAGTGTGAACGCTCGCAAACCGTTCCTCAAGACCCGTTCCTCTGGAGCGGTCTGGAGCGGTCTAACTAAGACCACTTTCAAAGTGAGTGAGAACGGGGTCTAAGTCAAGCTCCTTATATTCTAACTCTAATTTTCTCCAATGATACAAGGCTTAGCTTCAGATCAATCCAGCTGGTAATTAAAAAGGGGAGCAAGGATGGGATAATTAGGCTTCGGAGGAAGTTCTTGTTTTCCAAAGGACAAGAATATACACCAACCATATAATGTCATGCTTTGATTGGCCTCTGGCTTAGGTTGGAGAAAGTGCAGAGGGCAGTATATGGCTAACGTTCTACTTAACGTTCTACTTCAAAGTTAGTGCCAGAAGGCTTATGTGTACAGTGACCTAGTTCCCTTATGGCTCTTCCCAAATTCAGCTTTCTAAGGGCTTGCGTGTTCAGATATGACGTTTTTTTGTGATGTGTAAATTAACGACAACTGCGCGCAACTAAGGTCTTGCTCATATTATTCACAGAGCTCTGTGTTATGAGATACATTAATGTGAAGGGTATAACACTTTATGTCATCATAAAGAAAACTGCTGAGGTTATATGCTGCCTCATATCTGATCTAGGCATTACTGTAATAATAAATGCAGTGCCTTCTCCAAGGGACACAAGATGCTGTTCCTTATAAGTCTAAGAAAAAAGCTCAGGAGCATTGTTGCGGTTATTGTTGTTTTATGACAAATGACATATTTTCTGATTTGTATTGAAAGTCTATTGCCTATTTAAGTACCTTTGGAAACTAGCAGTATCGATTTGGATCCGAGGAATAACCGGATTGGAAATGTAGATGCAGAAAAAGATACTGAAATCAAAGTAAATATCTTTTTGTCAAATGACAGTAAAAACCTTTTAAACCAAGGCACCTACAAAAACCCCAGGAAACTTGAAACTCAGTTGTATAATTACAAATCACATATTTTCTGATTTGTATTAAATTTCTATTGCCTATATTAGTACCTTTTATAGAAACTAGCAGTAGCGATTTGGAACCAATGAATAATCGGATTAGGGATGTAGATGCATAAAAAAGGCTTACCAGTAAAAGATACCAGTTATCTATGACAAATGACAGTAAAAACCTTTTCTAACCAGGGCACTTACAAAAACAAGAGGGAACTTGAAACTGCTGAATACTACCCTGGAAGTATCTCTTTGGGAAAAGAGGAAAGTAATTAGAAAGGGAAGAGAGATTGTCATGCTGATGGCAGGAAGCTACGGATGTCATCATGGGGGAAAATGATTGTTGTCGCAATCCCAAGAAAAAAATATGATATATGAGGCATTCAGAGGCTGCCTAAGGGAGCAGGATAAATATTTACAGGAGAGATACATTTACATTCCGTTCAGACAAGCAATTAATGCTGTACAAAGTTTCATACAAAAATGGGATACATTTAATGAGAATGATGATGATGATGATGATGATGATGATAATTATACTTCTACTTCTACTACTACTACTACTACTACTACTACTACTACTACTACTACTACTACTACTGCTGCTACTACTGCTACTACCTCTACTACTACTTCTACGTCTACTACTGATTCGGATGTTGTTGATGATGATGATGATGATGATGATGATGATGATGATGATGATGATAATTATCATAATAATAATAATAATAATAATGATAATAATGAGATTAATAATGATAGTATTATAATATTATGATAATGATGATGATGATGGATATCTATATAGCACACATATATCCAACACATGAGTAGCTCAATGTACAAAGCACATTTAATGATGCTAGTGATACTAAAAAGAAGCACTTTTTAATGGTGTTATTAAGACATTTCAATTTTCAAATAAAAAATTGGGTAAATGTATATATTTCATGTAACGGATTAGACACAGCACGGAATCACCGTTGTGTGAATGGGGCTGTTAGACTCCAGGAGCAATGCAACACATTATCCTCAAAGGAAACCATCTAGAGATTGCATGGCTAGCTAATGGAAACGAAAAGTGAATGTTTAATGGATGAATTTATGAATGTTGCCGTATCTGGCGAGGAAGGGAAGAGCCATCTTCATTTTGTAAATCTGATATTGAAGGAAATTTATAGGCATGTCTTATGTTTGCTTCAGTGGTTTTGGAGAATACTATCATAGTGTAGAAATCATGCTGTTGTCTGTTTAATCTGTTCTTTAAATATTCCAATATTCATTTTTTTTTTTTTAAACCATATCACTCAAGGATATTAATTTTATTATTGAATATTATGATATTGAAAAGAAAATTATATAATTACTCTTGATACAGCTGTAGTCAAACTAATATTGGGATGTTATTAATTCAAAGTAAACTAAATCTAGTTGCCCTTCATTGTAACATACATTATCTTTCAGTCTACTGCCATTGTGATTACACTGAACATATCACACAACATTGATAGTGGAGGCATTACAGGCCCGCTGAGATATGTGAAATACAACACCATCCAATATCCTAAAATCTTTTGAACTTCAACCCCAGAACTGCAAAGTAGTGTCAAACAAATGTGTGCCTGTGGATAAACATGTACATGTATCTTTCCTCCTATATCGATCGTTACTAACATGTAGGCCTCATGTTTGCAATTATCATGATAGAAACATGAAACCACATTTTCTTGTGATATTCTCATCCAGATTAAGGAATTGTAAATAAAAGCTACTGCTAATAATTGGAATTCAGGATCACCCATTTCTACGTAAACTAAGAGTAGTTTTAATCATTTAAAATTTAGAAAATGAGATTTAGGGTTGGAAAAGCAAAATTGATAATAATGAAGAAGAATAGGATGAAAATATATCAATATAATGAGAAAGAAGT